GAGTGAGGCTTTGTTTTTGTGGAGTCCAAGAAAGATATTTTTTTAAATATACCCTTGGTTACTGTGAGTTGGAATCAGCTCGATGTCAGTGAGTTTGTGTTTGGGCATTGAGCCCATTGTTCACTGTGTTCCCTCTGCTTTCTCTACAGAACATAGGAATCTTTGGGATTGCAATACATCCCTCTGGCTAGTTCCTAATTGCTACGAGTTTGGTTACCATACTGTTAATGCTCACTAGTCTAAAATGCAGGAGTTCAAGCAAAAATGGACCGTGGATCATTACAATCTGATCAACTCAGTAGCAGCTGGATTGATATGGAAGATTTGGGAAATGATGAAATTGACTGTTATTCTTTGCCTTGTCAAGAGAGTTCTGAACATACCTGTAGGCTCAAAAGCCATAGGGCCAGGGAGGCCTTCTGATCTTCAGTAATGTGTCTACCACTTGATCTTCCCTTTTACTCTAAAGAAAATATGGGCATGAAACAGCAAAAAAAAAGAAAGAAAGAAACCAGAAACTTTTGATCCTGGGTTCTTAATAAAGAAGTTGAGATGGAGTAGGTAGGTGGAGGAGGATATGGCACATTTGCCATTGTTTTCATAAAGCCAGTATTGATTGGAACTCCGCACATGGGCAGAGTAGTATGGTTCATGAGCGCTGAGCCTTACAAACATATTTGTAAAAGAGTAACGGGATCATAAAACTCATTCCATAAGTAATACCCCACCTAGCAGAACGCCACAGCCTTTGCCCCGTATGCGAGCTTGAATGCTGGGTCCTGGGCAGGAACTCTTCGGCACTGCAAGTGGCATTCTCTTTGAGGTCACCCTCATGGTTCTCGCTCAGAAATAAGTCCATCAAGGACATCGCCTCAAAATTCTAGCACTTGATAGGTAGATACCTGTGGAGAGGGTAAGAATTTAGGATTTTACATGAAACACTCAATGTTCCAGCTGCTGGTTGATATCTAATTCTTCTTAGCTTGTGATTTGCCATCTTTTTTTTTTCAAACACTGCCCTTTCTGCATTCATGCCCAGATTCATGTCCCACATTAGGCCACCAGATGCCAGTCAGGAGGCTGTTTACACTGTGGTTCTCTGTTGACTCGTTTATGTGACGGGAGCAACAGTCGTCTACCTACTGTAGACGGTAGCATGGGAGTTAATAAAAGTATTCAAAGTTGAATGGTCTTTGTAGGGTTCAGACTCTTGTTATACTATTACATAGGATGGGAATTAACTGATCATGTGCCTTCAGTACTGCTTCTGGGCCCGTTCTTCAAGCCACTGAGAAAACACAGTATCAAACACATAGACGCATTGATCTTTTGTGAGATCAAATTTTAGCTATGGGTTTTCTTTGTTTTCCAATTTAATCAAAAATTAATAGCTTGCAATGCTTTCCACAGAGAACAGTCAAAACCATTTCTCAGCTTCCTTGTCAATGAGTCAGTTCCGGCTCATAGCAGCCCTAATCTGACAGAATAGCATCATCTCAGTGGGTCCCCGAGATGAGCATCTGGATGCGAGTACAACGCGGCCTTTCTCCTGTAGCGCTTCTGCTGGTGGCTTCAAACGCCTGACCTTGCAGTCTGCAGCCCGATCCACAGCCCCCTGTGCCGCCGCCGCTCCTTCAAAATGGTTTAAGAGTGTCTTGTTCTGAAAATTATACTTAAGAAAGTAAAGACATGTAATTGTCTGTTGTTTGCTGGTCTATTAGTGAATTAATCTTGGAAACTTGCTCTCATAATGCTAAAAGTAGGGGTATCCTTCCATTCAGCATTAGCAACATAGGCAGAAAACACTGACCAACTTCAGAATTAAAAGTGACCCTGACTCCCCGTGTATAAGTTCTCTTGCCATCTCTGCTATCCAAAAAGTTATTTTTGAATGAATTATCTGCTGTTGGAGCTGTCTTCCTTCAAAATCATATGTGATATGACAAGAGTATATCTCATGAAGAACTATAAAAACTAAAATTGAAGTTGGAGCATGAATATGCATAATCTTACACCTGTGGAGCCAACGGGTGATTTTCAGCAAGCACACTTACAGATAAACACACATACACAGAGAGAGAGAGAGAGAGAGAGAGAGAGAGAGAGAGAGAGGTGGAGGGTAGCAAGTGGAGGAAAGGTGATGAGAAAAGAGGAGAGCAGAAAGAAGAATCCCAAAATATCCTCTTGGAAGATGACAGAATCAGTCTGCATGCATTATCTTCGTTACGTCACATCTTGTTATTTCAGCTAGCCTAGAAATCTTAGCATTTCCATATGCAATTTTCTTAAAATAAGCACAAAACTTCTTTTCTTTCTGTATTTCTTAAGGCCTGGACATGTGCATTCTCCACCCCATTTTCAGCCACGGAGCGAATTAAGAGCTCCCAAAAGACAGGAAAGGACCTTCTAGGTCCTGGGGGTTTTCTAGAACACATTCATTGTTAATTGATTAACTAGAATGTAAGAATGAAGAGTAAGCTGTGTGTACCAGACCATATTTTGGATAGGGAGGAATATATTTGGAGTCAACATACATCTGAAGTAGATGCCATTAAGTGAAATCGGAAAGGAGAGAGCATGTCCATCTGCCACCAGAGACTTGGTGAGTGGATTAAGTGTCACTGCCCATAAGAAAGCAGCAGCCATGGCATGTTATCAAAGTTCACGCACAAAAGAGAAGCCACTCGAAGCTATAGCAAGAAACAGATTCAAATAGGCAAACTGATAACACGAGCGCACTCACGAACACAGTTTCCATTCAGTCACTTTACTGGTAGAAAATTGTAAGCAAAAATATGTGGATAGCCTGGTGGGTTTAGAGTAGGTCAAGATCATTTGCTTATTCTAAGAATGAAATGAACTTAACATACTTAACCTAGAGTCAGAAGATCACTGCTGAATTAGAAAAATTAACCAGATGATAAAAGGGAAATAAAAAATTAAAACTACCAGTCTACCAGAAACTGTTTTTATGAACAAGATTGTATTCAATGCATAAAATTTTGCTTCAAAATCACCAGTACATTGTCATGCCTTTTATCATTCAAAGGTCAATCTAATCCTTGAGAAAATCTGCACTTTTATTATTAAAATAAATACAGCATATACTTTACCTGGTAGAACTATTGAAAAAAACGATTGAGTTGAAGCCAACAATTAGTGCAGAAGGAGGGGGTGGAAAGGTGTCAGTTGAAAGTCACTCTCTGGAGGCATTAGACCCTAGGCGCTCTCCTCGCCCCTACCCAAGCCCAGCAGGAGACCCGAGTGTCAGCAGAGAAACTGGACCAGAAAGATTCTGGAACAAGAGTGCCAGGCAAAGAGCAGCCTTGGGGTGAGACACCCACAGCTGTGCAGTCCATTCTGATTCCTAGCCAGCCAGTAGGCCCGAGTCAGACTGCTCCTCAGAATTTCCAAGAATTTCCATCTTCACGAGAGCAGGCAGCCTCATCTTTCTCCCATGGAGTCGATGGTGGGTTTGAACCACCAACTTTGCAGTTAGCAGCCCAGTGTTTAACCCACTATGCAGCCAGCGCTCCTTATGGTGAAATAGGGGATTTAAAAGAGGAAGGTTAAGTTAAAATGGGCATCTTACATCAGGATAACAACAGTTCCAGGCCTCTCTAGCTCCAGGAAAATGGAACTCTCCCTGAGAAATAACCTTTGCCTGGTCATCAGAGTAGAAAAAGCCATTGGAACACAATATTACATACAATTTCATTCTTTTCATTCTCACCATAAAATTTTATTATGTAATGTGCTGTGTACTACTCCACTCCCCGCCATGCAGCAATTGGGACCCCTAGCATCCCTGTATACTGTTTCTGAAGCTGTACATCTTTCCTGAAACAGATAGGCTCCTCGTTCTCCTGGAGAGCAGCTGATGGGTTTGAACCTCAGCCACCAGGGTTCCTTGTGCTGTGTACAAGTAACGAAAAAACACCCCCACAATCTCATGACGTAATTGATTCGAAGTTCATATCTCACTCACGTGAAATCCAATATGACAGACAGCCTGCTTCTGTCTTATCATTCGGTCCTCTGGAGCATCTGATGCTGGGGTCTGGGATGAAGGAGCAAGCACACAGCTCTTAACTGCCCAGAAATGGTACATCACATCTGTCACTCAGGACCATTCATGTGGGAGAGGTACAGAAGAGCGAGCAGTGGGTGGGCACCAGCTTCTCCGTAATGCCGCTTCGCTCTCTTTCCATGCACCAGTCATGGAGTCTGGTAGTTTCTTGGACTGAATCATTAAAATTAATTTTAAATTTATAAAGTATTAGAAGTTGCCTACCTACTGTATGCTATCACTGGGACAGACGGCAAGAATATGGAGATACAAATGCAACCGTCTCTGGCCACAAGCTTATGCTACATTTAACTTCCTCATTCACACTGCCTCTGAAAGAACTTTCAGATTCTCCTGGATGTTTTGATGAGTAGTGACCAGCCCTCAAAAACTGTGTAATAAGTTATTGATTTATGCTCAACGGGATCTTATATCCGTGTCACACTCTTTAATTTCACATATTTTCCCCAAGTCTTTTGAAAAAAGCTCTTCTTTTCCTTTAAACTAAAATAATGGGGGAGCACCCTCCTCTTGGAGCACCTTGGCTGTGTTCTCATAGACACAGAGCAGCACATTCATCTTTCTCAGCACTGCCTTGTGGTTTATTTCTGATGCTCACTGAAGCAGGTTTGTAAATTAATATTAATATGCAATGCTCTATTAAAAATTTCAGAGCACATCAGGTGAAATCAATTATCTGGGAAGCTTTTTTACACCTAGGTCAGTCTTTCAAATGCACCATGCACAGGTTTTGAAAGAAAACAATTCTTCCGATTTAAAAAGCTCCGTTTATCATAGAGAAATTATTATATCTCTTCTTATTTATTCAAGTGTGCAGCTTAAACTGCTGCACCTGAGTTTTAGTATTTGGATTCCAAGACTCTTCATCAATTTTTTATAATGTTTGGTCTCTTTCTGTTTCCTTTCTCAGAGTACCCAAGTGGCCTTGGACCATCTGGAATCTGTGCCTGAGAAACTGAGCCTCCTAGATGATTTCAAAGACTTCAGAGTGAGAAAGGGTTGGCTTGTCTCTTTCACTATTTGTCGCAGAGTGAAAGCACTTGACATCATCTTCCTGATGCACAGAGAAAAGTACAGGGAGGGAGCAAGGACCACAAGAAAACATCCGGGACTTGTGACCCTCCATCTGATCAGAGTGTACCAATGTTTGTGTAGTCAGGATGGAACTCAATGGAATTGGTGCATGAGCCCAATATAAGTGAATAGACACTTGTACACTCCCCACAAAAACGCATGTGGCCTAAAGCTTTCATTAGAATTTAGAAAGACCTAAGAAGTCAAGAGGGTGGCAAGTCATGTTGACAATAGATAACGTTTTTGATAGCAATTTTAATGTAATTTACTCTTTTTAATTACAGAGTGCCAGGGAACTGTTTTAGAGATGTGATAGTTTACAGTTTATCCCTATAGTCAAATAAATGCCTTCAAATCCACGTGGGTATGAGATACCATACATCCTGTCATTTATTGATAGAACCCTAACCACAAAGCATTTCATTATCAAGTCAGTTAATTACATGTATAAATTTACCCATGAATATTTTTTAAAATTTCTCCTGGAGGAGACATGCAAAGCAAAAAGCCCTGCTCTCCACTCCTGCCAAAAGAGACCTTTCTCCAAAGGAAGAATGCTTTCTCATATCCCTCTAGTGCTGCACAATTTTTGCAACTTATAATTTACTGACGCTTTATGGCTGAAGCTAACAATGGTAAGGTTTTCTTATTGGATACCACTTAATCTCTTGTTTTGCATTGGCTTTGAAATATGATTGATGTTTTGAAGGATAAGAACAGCGAAAAAGAGGAGGCTCTCCACAAGATCGACAATTGTGAGGACGTTGCAGGCCAGGCAGTGGCTCCTTCAGTTGTCCATAGGGTCACCCTGAGTCAGAACCAACTTGTTGGCACACAACAACAACAACAGCAACAGCAGCAGCAGCAGATAAGAACAATAACTAGGTCATTTTGTATGGAGTTATTGGAAGCCCTCATGTGATTTGACCCCTAAGAGCTGCAGTCTCTTAAAACTACATTTCCTTAAGCTTCTTTTTGGGAGTTCAGGAACTGAACATTTTGAGGTCCAAAATTGAATAGACACAACCAGAAATTTAGAGTAGAATAAATAAAATGTAGCCAAGTGCTTCTAGTATATTTTACTGAAGGCTTGGTTATTTCCCATGATTTGATTATGGGTTTGCAGTCTGCATCCCTTTTAAGAATTTAGGAAACCAGGGTTTAAGGATGAGATGTTCACTCAGCCTTATCCAGCCAGATGTGCAGGATGGGCAGTATGTCACAGCCATATTTGTTCCACTTGTGGCTAACACAAGTCGGCTAAGTGAACAAAGGGCACGCAGGAGAAGGTACTACAAGCAAGTGACATGTGACTGCCAAGCAGATGCCTCTCTTATACCAGTATGAAAAGATAAAGTTGAACTCCTTTTTACCACTGTTCTATGTGGAGCAGAATATTCATGTGTACAATTTAAAAGTTGTATTCCCTATCGCTCCAGAAAAGTTCTCATTTAATTTTATACTCAGATAAACAAGTGATTATAAGTCTAATTTAACTGCACACATGCTCACAAGCAGAAATGCTTTATATGATCAGATTCCTTGGGAGAATTTTTTTCAAGGTCCACAATTATACTTTTTAATATTAGTCATTGAAACAGCTTTATTTAGCCTGGGTAAAAATGAAGGAGGGAATTCACATGTGCTATGTACATACTGAGGACTTAAAACACTTGCTGACCATAACCAGAGATTGCATGGATCATTGGTACAGATTGCTAGTCAATGTAAAGAAAACCAGGATCCTCACAGCTGGACAATGAAACAGCACATCCTGCTGAATAGAGAATGATTGAGGTGGCCAGCGAGTTCCTTTTGCCTCAATTCACAATCAATGCTCATGGACGCAACAAGACCTCTCTAAGATGTTGAAAAGCAAGGAGGTTACTTTGAAAACTAAGGTGCCCATAACCCAAGCCATGATATTTTCATTCATCTCATATGCATGTGAAAGTTGGACAGTGAATGAGGAGGACCCCAGAAAAATGGATGCATTTGAATTCCTATGTGGGCAAAGAATATTGAAATTACTGTGGACTGCCAGAAAGACAAATAAGTCTGTCCCGGAAGAAGTTGGGTCGGAATGCTCCTCCGGTGCTAGGATGGTGAGACTTCATCCTACATAATTTGAACATGTTGTCAAGAGAGAGCTGTCACTGGCAAAGGACATCATGCTTGGTATGGGGCTTTGAAAAAGAGGAAGACCCTCAGCGACATGGATTGAAACAACGACTGCAACCGTGGCCTCAAACAGGGCAGTGATTGCGAGGATGGCGCAGGACCAGGCCGTGTCTCATTCTGTTTCCGGAGGCTTCCTGTGAAAGCAGCATGTACAGATGGTCTATTGAGCTGTAGCTGTCATTCACATGACACTTTTCCTTAATCTTCAGAGTAAGGCCCCTCAACAGATGGATGTTACCAGTTCCCATTTTACAGGGAAGGCAATTGAGGCAATGTGTAGCAAGCTGCATGGAAATGGGATATAATTATTGGTATAACAGCAGTCCCTGCACGCTTCCCTGCTGCCTGTAGCCTGAATCCCCTCTACCCGTACTCCGGAGTCATCTACATGAATAAAAAGAGCGCATTTCGTGAAAACAACTAGTCATAGCCTTAAATGAAACTGTGGAAGTCTTTATATTAGTCGATGTAGTCTATTTTTTCAGCTCCCTTACAGCTCAGTGTGAAGGAGCCCTGGTGGTGTAGTGGTTAACCCTTGGGCTTTGATCTTCATGTTGGGCAGTTTGAATCCACCAGGAGGTCCAAGGGAGTAAGCCTAAGTTTTCTAATTTGTTACAGTCTCAGAAACTCACGGGGCGTCACGACGAGTGAGCAGTGACTCAATAACAGTGAATTTTCTTACAGCTCACTGTGCTCAGTGTAGAGAATGGGGAGTTCAAAGTCTAAGTTCTGGTTCAAGCTCGTGTACCAGACAATCACTTAGTATCTCAGACTCTTTCCTTATTCATAAAATGAGGGGCTACAACAATATTCCCTCTATGGATCCTTCTGTTGATATCAATAGCTTATATATTAAAAATCTATTTCACATGTATTTTCTAGATAGGACCCTAGCTGATGACTCTGTGAGTGCAAACCTCATCCTACCTAAATATGTTCAATTGCGGTCATACGCTGGGTTTTGTTTTTTTCCCTGCTTCCTTTTAAAAGGAGTGGTTCCACTGTACAGTCCCACATCTAAATTTACATATTTGGTGAGGTAAAAAGGAAATAGCATTGAGATTCAAGCCAAACTTCCACAAATTGTCTTGTCTTGGGCAGATAATTTTTAGCATTTATGAGCTTTCATTTTCTTACTACCCCCCGCCAAAAAAGAGGGGGTGTTTTCCAAAATCTAATATCCCTTCCAGCTTAAACATTCAGTAAGCTTAAAATTCTTTGGGGTTGTGTGGGTGGGGGTGGGGGGGAGGATGTCTTAGGATCCCATGGGTGTTTCTTCTTACATAGATAACCCTAAATTTATTCTAATTCTTCTCTACTTTGTAGCAGAAGTGTCTAAATGATCAGACATAGTGACCTATTACAGTGTTCATTCTCATCCAAAAAAAAAGAAAGAAAGAAACACCTTTGAAAGCTTTGGTCTCTTAAAGCTATGACATTCAGTTGAATGTGTGAGAATTGCTTTATGCTTATAATAGAAGATGAGATCTCCGTGAGCTTAGAAATCTAAGTCCTATAGCCATTTTCTAAGTGACTGTAGACTGGTATCTGATGCATAGTGAAGCAAAAGGGCACCAGGTTTAAAGGTAACAAGGAGAGTATGTTGTATTCTCCGAGGGAGCATACACAGGGGTAGCACAATGCCTGTGGACAACTCATTGTGATGGGAACCTTATACCCTTAACTAAAGGGGTCACTCATTTCATCCTGGCTGGGGACTGGTCGCAAAAAGGAAGCAGATACATTAGACCTCATTTTTATTTCTATAGTAGCATCCAACAAGGCCATTTTATTTATTCTTGGGGCATAGGGACTCCCTGATCTCTCTTTAAATGCTGTAAGTATTTATTATCTACATATCAGGCCTTTCTCCTTCTACCTTCAAGCCCTGCTTTTTCTTTCAGCCCCCATTCAGACCTGGTGTTGTTTTTGTAGGCTTCCTGTGGCTTCTCCAAGAGGACTGATGGGAGATATTCTAAATACAAAATGCAGAGAGAGTCTCTTCAGCTGCGCCGAGATGAGGCCAAGTACAGACTCAAAAGCTTCACGGTAATGACCTTTCTATTCATTCTCACTCTGGGAACTTTATCCACATGTATAGCTATACCTCCTCCTAGTCATCCATTTCAGTGTTCATGTAAGGACACTTGTAAGCGACAAAAACCAACAAACCCTGTCAATGTGTGGAATGGATTTTCAATTTTGTGGGAGTCGCGAAGGAAAATCTAGAACTGTTTTCCTGGAGAATGAAACTTTAAGGATGTAGATCGTCATCTAACTTGCCTTTGTCTGTATGTAATGATGCTACTGAACAAATCCCGAGCAAGGGAATTCAGGTCATTGGCTTTGGAGGCTTGACCTTCTCTGTGCGCAAATCGGGGAACTCATCACACTGACATCTCCAATAGATGAGGCCACACATATTAAAGAGGGAAAAAACTATTGTCTTGAGTCAGTTCTGACTCCTGGAGACCACTGAGTGTCAGAAAAGAACTGGCTCCTTAGGGTTTTCCATGCCCCGTTTTTTTAGAAATAGGTCATCAGACCTCTCTTTCCAGGCACCTCTGGGTCAACTCAAATCGTCAGCCGTTGGTTTAGCAAGCAAATAGGCCAACCGTATGCACCACTCAGGGACACCAGATCCACCTTTGGTCTTTTGTTAACTATAGTCCTGGCATCTCTGGGTTTGTTGGGGTTTTTTCTCCCTGAAGATATGAACTCTGTGCTATCACTTCCGGTTAGACCCATTACCATTGAATTAATAATACAAGAGTTTGGGGAGATTTAACCATATTGGAAAAAAAAAAGTCTACCATTTCCCAGGTATTCACCTGTGCACAGTTGATTTTAAACAATTTTAACCCTAAATAGTGCTTAGTCTAAGAGCCCTGATGGCACAATGGGTTATGCATTAGGCTGCTAACCAAAAGGCCAGTGGTGTTGAACCCATCAGCCACTCTGAAGGAGAGAAATGAGGTTTTCTGCTCCCATAAAGATCAATAGCCTCAGAAAGCCACCGCGCATTTCTACTCTTTCTTTTAGGTCAGTTAATTTTTCTTGTTGTTTTTGTTTGCGTTTCTTAATCTAGAGCAGAATTTCATATCAGCATTATTGACATGTTGAGCCTGAGATATTTTGTAGTGGGGGCCCTCCTATGCATAGTGGGATGTTTATCACTGTCTTTACCATCAGCACATTGAATGCCAGTAGCACCCTATCTCCAAGCTTTAATATCCACCATGTCTCTAGACATTTCCAAAAGCAAAATTATCCCAGAAGGAGAACACATGCCAACAGAGAATCTAACTATGTTTGCATGTACACCCCCAGTCAATTTAAAAGAAATACACTACTAGCTTTTCTGGTGTTTTTTATAGAGTTACAAATATCAATATGCATGAATATTCATTATACTATATATTCACTTATTACAGCCAAATATGATTATTTTTTAAGAAGCTTCTTTTCTCCTCTGAATGTAATTTATTAGAATGCTTAGAGGATTTAAATTCAGTGTTCATTTTAAAAATTCTTCTTAGCACACTTCAAATGAGCACACCATTTTTCCATCCCAAACAAAAACTCAACCCAATTAGATCAAGTCATTGGTACCCTTACTGTTAAGAGAGCACCCTGTGCCTTTGTACTTTTTAAACTTTCATTTCATATAGATTGCTTTTATTGTAGTAGTATCTACGAGGTTGAAAGGGAGTCCGTGATGCCATGGAGTAGGCATTGGGCTGCTAACTGCAGGGTTGGTGACTCAAACCCAGCAGGCGCTACACTCTGCTCCTGTAAAGACTGTAAGGTTGCTATGAATCTGAGTCAACTTTATGATGGTGTGTTTGGGTTGGTTTGGTTTTATAGTTGATTGTATGGAAGATTGGAGGAAACTTTATTAACAACCTATAATTTGAAGATGGCACAGGCTTACTTGCTGAAAGTGAGCAGGACTTGAAATACTTGCTGATGAAGCTCAAGGATTGTTGCCTTCAGTATGGATTACGACTCAATGTAAGGGAGACCCAAATCCTCACCACTGGACCAATAAGTAACATCATGTTCACAGGAGGAAAGGCTGGCGTTGTCACGGATCTTGCCTTGCTTTCATCCACAACCAATGTTCATGGAAGAGGCAGTCACATCCAAAGACATACTGCATTAGGTAAATCTGCTGCACAAAACCTCTTGAAAGTGATGAAGAGCGAGGATGTGGCTTTGAGGACTAAGGTGTGCCTGACCCAAGCCATGGGATTTTCCATTGCCTCATATGCATGTGACAGTTGGACATTGAAGAAAGCAGGCCAAGGAAGTATTGATGCTTTTAAATTGTGGTGCTGGAGATTATTATTAAAATTTCCATGGACTGCTAACAAGACAAACTGATTGGTCTTGGAGGAAATACAGCCAGAGTGCTCCTTAGAGGCAAGGCTGGTGAGACTTCATCTTATATACTTTGGACATGTTAGGAGAGACCAGTCACTGGAGAAAGACATCATGTTTGGTATGATAAGGGGCAGCAAAGGAGAGGGAGGCCTTCAAGGAGGTGGGTTGACACTGTGACTGCAACCAATGGGCTCAGGCATAGAAATTGCAAGGATGGTGCAGGACCATGCAGTGTGTCATTCTGTTGTGCATGGGGTCTCAATGGGTCAGGCAAACTCAATGGCACCTAGCAACAACATATGGGAGGTAGTCGTAGATGGTATTAGTGAATTTGTTATTTCACATGGCAATATTTAAAGTGGCTGTTACCATGTTAAAAAATACATGCAACCCCCATCCATTTGTTAGAGGAGGTTTATGTGTGGAACTTCCAGACTAAGATGAACAGGAAGAAAGGCTTGGAGTTTTACTTAAAAAAAAATTACCCCATGCAAATTCTATAGGTCACAATAATCCATTTCACAATTGTTCCTGCAGATAGCACAAAGCTAGGCACTGATTTGGTCCCTTTACACGAGGTCACCATCTTTGAATGCAGCCTACCAATGCAGAGCACCGTGCTCCACCACCATCTTTGTGTGAAGAACCTGTTTCCTACTTAGTTCCCAATTCCAGGGGCAGAAGGTTCGGCTTACGACACAACACTGAGGCTGCCCTTCCTTTTGTCAGTCACCACTAAACCATTTCCAACCAGTTCCAAGCCCTGCTTAGAACGTTATATTCCACTAAAGTTCGATTGGGCACCAGATGAATCAGTGCTAGCTAGCCACACACAATTGCTGTCAGTCAATGCAATTTCCATAACCGCATATGGCAAAACTATGAATTTTTATCATGTTTAGAAGGTGCTCTCCACAGAGTTCCCATTACAATTACATTCGCAGCTGAAGAGGAAACCATGTGGTTTGAAAGAGGCACCAACTCTGGGCAAACTGAGAGAGAATTTTGAAAATCAAGTGCAGGTAACGGAAGGGCCCACACACCCATTTTATGATGACATGCTTCCGATGAATACTCCCCAAACATTATAAACCTCTGACCCATTTCAGTGGTGAATATGCTGACAGGACCCTATCAGCAGATGTCTGGTGTGAACAAATGCAATCGTCTATGTAAAACTGATGGGTATAATCACTTAGAAAATAAAGTCATCGGAGAGAAAAATGTGAGAACACATTTTGCCAAATATAGATCCCAGCGGTTTGGGATCATATGGTTTCTGTGAAAATCAGTTATCTGGCTACTTTAATTGCAATAAATAATCCTTACATAAAGTAGCCCTGGTAGCTTAGTTACAACCACCATTCAAAACCACCAGCTGCCTCAAGGGAGAAAGATGAAGCTTTGTACTCTCTTGAAGGTCAACAGTTTCAGAAACCCCCTGGGACCCTTCTGCACAGGACTGTAGAGTCACTGAGAGTCTGAATTGACTTCAATGGCAGTGAGTTTGGTTCTAATCCTTACCTATTTATTCTAACGCAGGGTTTGGTAAATGATAGTCAATAGGCCAAACTTTTCCAAAGACTTATTTTTGTAAGCAAAGTTGATTGTCATATTTGCTCGTTCCCTGCTGTCTATGGTTCTTTTCACACACACTGGTGTTGTTGTAAACTTAGGCTTTCTGGCTCTCAAAGCCGAAAATATCTACTATCTGGTCATTGGCAGAAAAAGAAAAAAAAGCCAACCGCTGGTATAGAAAATAAAAACTGAATGACCAATCTATTCTTTCTTCATTCATATAGCATGTGAAATATTTCCTCTCTTTGATTGACCACATAAATAATGCACCAACTCTTTGTATCCTGTTTATCCACTCATTCAACAAGTGTGTATCGCATGCTAGCCATGTGCCAGAACTTTCTAGGCACATGGCAGTCACATCCGTAAGCAAAGACAAAAAAAACCTCTGCATTTTTTCAACTTCATTTCTCACAGACGGAACGCTAGTGGCATAGAGGTTGTTCATTGGGTTGCGATCCTCAGGGTCAGCAGTTCAAAACGACCAGCTGCTCTTTGGAAGAAAGACGGGGTTTTCTAATCCCATAGAGAGTTGCAGTTCGAACCCCGACAGAGGCAGTTCTCCCCGATCCTATAGGGCCCCTGTGAGTCGGCATCAACTCCATTGCAGAGCGTTGTTGAGTGCCACGGACAGATAGTCAGGTTGTTGTTGCTTTTTAGCACAACATTCTTTGAGGATTCATTTCGGTGTCTGTGCTCGGTAGGCAAGAACTCAGGGGAATAACATGAAAAGACAACGGTTAACTGACCCTTAGGAATTCAAAGCCTTCCCCAAACAACCGAGAGAGGGATAGATGCTAGGTAGAGACTGTCACTGTGAGAATTCAGAAGAAAGAAAGATGCTCAAACATCTTTTGTAAAGCTGAAGACAAGTTATAGGGCAGTGCTTTATCTGCAGCTCAGTTTGAAAGTAGGCCTCCGTTAGGGTGACCATTGCCGAACCCTGGCTCTACAAGTGTGCTTCAAAAAGTTCATGGAAAAATACCCATCTCTTTCCATGCTGTTTTTCGGTGAACTTTTTGAAGCTCCCTCATGTTACTGTGGATGGAGCAGCAGACCATGTTGGAAACTGACTTCTGTCAAAC